AATATTCATTCATATTATACATTCTCCAAAATTCATTTCATCACAACTCAAGTTCACAATAGAGTTTCAACTTTCAAGAAAGCTTGAGTAGAAAGAACTGAAACAACCCGCATTGCAGGTGTCCAAGGTAGTACTTTACATTTTGAAATTAAAAAAAAACACTAATTGCTTCAACTTTTATGTTTAGGCCTTGTAACTAGCAGAGCATGAAAAGACTAGGGGAAAAAAAGAGAGGAATCCTTTCATTGTGTCATTCTACATAGATATATGTTGACACGAGAAACTCTAACTCGATTACTTGCAAATTGCACACATTAAATATTGTGATGAGACAGAGGGCAATTTGGGAACAAACCTTCCACGACCCATCATCTTCTTCGGACCACACTACTTTGCCCGCGTTGAACCCCACCACCGGTTGGTTGTTGGATTTGGCCGGGAGCAGGAGCATGCCCAGTTGTCTGTTCTTCGGCCATATTCATGGCTTGGGTGACTGCGTTCATGACTATGAGGCCCAGAGGGATCAGATACATCCACTGAAACAGACATAACATAAACTCAGTGGGATATTTTGTGCCAAGGGGGTGGGTGCAATGAAGCAAATCAAAGTACAGATTTTGTTTGGTTGAGTGTGTTCTCACATATTTAGCCCAGAATGATTTTTCAGGCGGCTTTACGTCTTCGCCTTCTGGATTCTCAGCCACAGTTTCTGCAAGTATTGGAGTTCTGCTCCAAAAAATTACAGGCTGGTCACCGGTTTAATCATAATTTAACACTTTTCATAGGGAATTACAAAAGCTAAAAGTGAAAGCTCAGCATAAGAAAGAGTCCGTTTGGAACCCAGAAAATGCTAGGGATAAGATCATAAGAAGGATAACATAGTGGGAAGTTGGCAAGTAAGAATATCTGGGGAGAAAATAAAGGGGTAAAAATCAATAAACTGATCATAGGTATTTGTAGATATTCAATTAGTTATTTGAGTGTATGAGGACTAATATTTTAAATACACTTGAAAGAATTTAAAAAAATAAAAATAATCATATTTCCATTTCCCTTTCCATAGTAAAACCACCAAAAAAAAATACCTTGCAATTGTTTCTTTCTCTTGGCATTCTCCGGGATCCCAACATCCCCAAAATGAAGATATATAGCTTATAGCTTTCCAATACGTTCATGAAGTGAAAAAGAGATGACCAACTCAATACTTCCTATTTAAGACTCTTAAAGCCTTGCATTACATAAATAAAGCAAACTACAGTACATACTTGGTCCATACATCTCCAAATAAGCTTTCCATTTGCTATAGACATGTCTATTAAGAGAATGAAATTGGGTGGGGTAATTAATTTAAAAAGAAGGTCAACCACACAATTCTTTCCTTAAAAGAAAACGGAAATAGTGCTCTGAGACTAAAAAAAGGAACATAGAAAGTTAATATGGGGACAGAGAGAGTGACAATCTTCACTGCACCAACTTCATAATATCAAGTGTGGAAGTGCCTGATGCACAAAGGGTAGAGGAAAGGTACTAAGGCCACTTACTTGGTAGCCTGCTCGGTTGTTTTTAATACCGTGTACGAGTTAAAGGACCACTTTGAAGGCTGTGAAAAAGACGAAAACATGTACTTCAGAAAAGTTTGTAAACCATGCGTTACTTGCTAGATACACCATACCAATTGATGTAATGATGTTAGGATCATATAACAAAAATGCTCAAAACTTATTACAGCATATTCTACACCAGAATATTCATATTAAAATGGGACATATGCAACTTATATTACAAAATGGAATTCAACTTCAACATTTAAAAAAAGTAAAGTAAAGTAGCATCATGCAAGCAAAGACAATGAGTCTTTTTTTTCAAACATCAAAATGTCAATGCTTTATTACATCCACTTCACCTAAAGGAGTTTTTTAATAGCAAGTGTCTAGTGTTAAAATCTTAAAGAGCTTGTAAAGGTATATGGTGCACCTGATTCAAATCTATTAGCAATTATATGAGGTTCAAGCATATTTTAGAATATCCTTTCATCCAAAACAAGAGAGGCATAATTAGCACACAAGTGTACACCACAAAATGCATCAATTGATAACGGAATGAGTGAATGATAAAAACCATTGGGAGGGGGCTCAGATTTGAGATATAATCATTCACTTGGTGTCTGTTTGGAATTTAGAAATGATATGGAAAGAAAATATAAAGGAAAATAGTAGGGAAATTTGGATGAAAAGAAATATATAGGGAAAAAAGGTCCGAACTCAATAAAGCAATTTCACCATTATAATATTATATAATGGTAAAATAAATATTTGTTCAAACTCCTTTTGATTATATATTACCATTATAATATTATATAAATATTAAGAAACACAAAATAAAATTTTAAAACTTTTAAATCAGACTTGAGTTCCTTTGTATTTTCCAAGGTAAACCCAAGTATGCAGAACTATTTTCATGAGCTTTTTTCATAACCCTGCCATTTCCACATTCCAAACATAGCCTTGAGGTTTGCTTTTGCCTCATTTCTACTGCCAAACCCCTATCAGGGAATGAAGAAGGCAGTTCGTGAATAATGAAGTGTTCTAGAATAATCTAACTAAATGAATCCGCAAACAAAATTCCAAACAGTGAAACCCTTCTCATTTTATATACTGCTTCTGTGCTTCAGAAGGAAATGCAGCTGTCAAAGTTCAAAAATCTGATCGGTCGTGCAATGTTGATCAGTAAAGGTTGCAGCACATTCATAAGGTTTGATCATTGTACAAGACTTCTTTGGCTGCCACACATGCATGTTTTGGATGAGGGTATAGACAAAATTAAAGTTTATTGATTGGGACTTACAACTTTAAACGGACGAGGATACGGACATGAACCAGGAGAACCATAACTAACACCAATAATGTTGACACCCTCCTGCAATATACATGTGATAGAACCAGAGTTATTAATAAGACAGGAAGATTTTGATTTTTGAAAGTGCCATGAACATGAATGGCTGTGTAAGTTTCCATAAATATCAAGTCTGCACATTTATTTCAATCCAGTTACTCAATACACTCCAACCCCAGAACTTAATATGCAAGTTAATACGTAAGAGAACAAAGATAAACAAGAAGTTTAAAACCAATTTAGGATAATGCGTAGATGACAATAGATTCTAGAGTTTGACATTACCATGTGTATGGCAAAGTGTTCGTCCAAACCATCCCGGGGAAGGCACCTCTGGAAAAATTCAAAAGTGCTGTCAACCACCTCATTGAGGAAAATAAACTTCACAAAATACGTTAAATATATATCAATAGTGAATTTTTCATACAACGGGTGCAAAGTCAAGTAAGTAGAAAGTAGAAACCCCAACTTTATTCCATCAAGTTTATTGCATGTAAAATGTTTTAGAGAGAGAGAGAGTAAATGGTTGCTCAGCCAACACTAGGGATAGAAGATTTGAAGGGATAAAGTTCCATAAAGGAAGGGAAGGGAGAGTATTATAGAGGAGAGGAAGGGAGAGGATGATATCTTGTTTGGATTGAATATTTTGAATCAAGGAAGCATTAACAGTTGCAGGAGTGAGGAAGCAGCGTAGGAAATCGAGCTAGGGTTTCCTCAAGCAATAGCAGTCGCAGGAGTGAGGCCTACGCCACTGGTCTGCCATTGCCTGAACATTGTCGATCACGAACCGCTGCTCCAGTATGTGCTCTGCGATGAAGATGACTCTGATGATGGCAAGTCTGATATGGTGATTCTGATGACGAGGACTGCCCTTGTTCTCCTTCCTTCCAAGTGACTCTGATTTGGTGGGATCACTTTTGAGGGAAATGGAGGGTCTCCTCCCTTCTTTTTCCTCTCAACCTGTTTACTTCCAAACCAAACGTAGCACAAATTAACCCCCTCTTTCCGTTACCCTCCCCTTCCCTTCATTCTCCCCAATCCAAACGCACTATAAAAGAGCGCAGCAACACCTCTGTTTTGCATACTCAATGGTAAATTTTCACCCATTACTTTTTTATTCACTACCCGGTAGGCTTTATTCACTATCCAATGTCAATACATAATACACTTTACCCTCAAACCATTGTTTGGACAGCGCAGCTGACATTGACGTAGGTGATGCTATACACAATACATTTTTAAAAGAGTTGAAAGAAACATAACTTGGCATTCATATGTATACACATTTAATCACTCATATCTTCATAGTTCATATCAAGCTTTTAGATGCACTTTACTGTACAGTTTCATGGCATGCAAGCATGGTTGCATACGCACCTAGAGAAGTTAGAGTCAAACTTACAGCTTTTACTGATGAGACCACATACTCCTTTCCAGGTTGGTTCAACACATTCGATGGCAGTCTTATGGTATAAAAATCATCGCTTTCCAAGAGTTTCTGAGTAACACAAATACATCATCATAAGAGACATGTCACATATAGAACGAACTAATGAAGAAGGCTCAAACGTATTAAACTAGACCAAGGAGTTACTCTGAAATTTTCTTTCTCGACCTCAGTAAAAGAACTTCTGGAGAAGCGGAGTTTTGTGAGCTTCTGATACATTTGGTTCAAATAAAGTATTAGTACATAATAATCAATTAAACTTCTCCCAATATATAATAAGGCATAAATAGGCAAAACACATAAGTGTATCTTTACCATGAAAATATTTTGTCAAACATTAATTTCTTCTATCATTCTAATGAAGAACATAAAAAATATGGTATGCCAGCTCTTTTCAATGCATAGACTACTGTTGTTCACATGTAAATAGAAAAAAGTATAGATTTTCCTGAATATATCTTCAAAAGCTATATTCTTTGAGTTCCAAGACCTTGTTGCTAATCAGTAGTTCACTAAGATACTTCTGATCAGAGGGAGCAGAAAGGATAAATCTTTTCAGTTTATATAAATTATAGTGGCTATTGTACACTGGGAGAGCGCCCAATTAAGGGGATAGAATTTCCTTATTTGGTTTAAAATACAGCTTAAATAAAATATGGTTGACACAATTTCAAATCCCTGAATAAACCCTTAATATAATAAGGCGTAACACATTTCGAAATCCAAAAATAAAGTTAGGAGTAACACATTTCCGAATCAGCCATTGCAATAATCATCAGTTGTAAGATGTTTCACTGTTGATTTGAATCTCAGTAATTATACACACCCGACAGAGTTAAGGAAAAAAACGGTTCCAATAGGTTATGTGCCAGTTTAATTGCAGTGCAGAGATAACGAGATGATTTGAAAAGGGGGTGGGGATGAACCTGGCCGCTGTGAGAAGAGGTTTTGAGGCGAGCGGTGAAGGTGCCTGCCGGTGAAAAATCGGAGCCTCCGAATGCGTGTTCCAAATAGAACTGGACCTTGGAATCGCCGTCGGCAGCAGAAGATTTCTTTCCGGGGGAATGAACACGAGAAGGTGGAGATGGCGATGCAGTGGCGACATCAGGATGAGGAGATCTGATCTCTATCCCTCCTTCGAGGCCGAAATCTTCGTCTTCGACGAGAAGCTCGTCGGACTGGAAACTCAGGCAAGTCTTCTGAGTGGTAGCAATGAACAACAGGAGGAGAAGGAGGGCGGTGATCGGCGCCGGAGATTTGCTGCTCATTGTTTCTGCTCTTTGAAGACAGAGTCTTCACTTTGCACTGACCTTCCTTCCAATAATAGTTCCAAGTCAAATTGTGGATAATAACTATTTTAATAATTTTAGTATTATTTTTATAAAAAAAAATTATAAAGTACTCCGTAATACTGGTAATTTATTTGTTTATTTAAGTATAAGTAAAACATAATGGTATGTTTGGGAACATGGATTTGGATTTCAAATCTGGATTTAGCTCAAATCACATGTTTGGAAAACTTAAAAAATTTGAATTTGGATTTAAGTCAAATTTTTCTCATTCAAAACAAAGTTTAATTTCAAATCTATGCTCTTCCTCTTGTTATTTGAATTTCAAGATTTTAAATTTTGGAATTGAAATGCATGAATTGAAATGAAATCCTAGTTGCCAAACACTACCTAAGATTATTCTACAAACAAAAGCTTTTATATTATAACAATGTGACATTGTATATTGACATTCTACAATATTTCATTAATATTATAAATTGACATTGTTAATATTGTAACTTCTTTTTTAAGACAACAACATGAAAGTTATATCTTGATTCTTTTTCGACAAGATTGTCAAGGCCTGTTAAAGAATGTGCATGAAAGATACGAGATCAGTTGCTTCGCTGTCCAAAAATTAATAACATTGTTTTCTCGACATGGGGCAGGTAATCTCAGGCACCCTAAGGGTCTTGCTCATGTCACAGACCAAGCATGTGTTGGATTCTGGTCTCTTCTTTTATCAAGACCGTGCTAATTGGACAATCTACCACTGCCATATACGAGATCAGTTGCTTCGCCGTCCAAAAATTAATAACATTGTTTTCTCGACATGGGGCAGGTAATCTCAGGCACCCTAAGGGTCTTGCTCATGTCACAGACCAAGCATGTGTTGGATTCTGGTCTCTTCCTTTATCAAGACCGTGCTAATTGGACAATCTACCACTGCCATATACATGACCAACACCTCTTCATGCTCTGGTTTCGTTAAGGCTAGTGGATTAGCTATATATGCATTTGGCTCATTGAAAGCTTTCTGACACTCAAGGGTCCATTTTTGTTTCATGATCATAGAAAACAATAATTTTTTCTCTGCAAGTTTTCACAGGAAATTGTTCAAGGCTACTAATTGCCTTATCAACTATTGGATTTCCTTTATATTACATACCTAGATATTACATTTTCAATATCATCCTTACATTTTTTGAGTTTACCTTTATGCTTTTTCTCGCTCCCATGACCTAGCCCAAGAATTACCGCTCATATACCGCAAACCAATACTTAGTGTTTAATCTCAAATTAGCCTTATGCATGATCGTGAATATGTTAACAAGATCTACCATATTTTGAAAAAATGTCACATGTCACTCTCTTGACTTCTTTTACATTATTCAGAGATTGCATTTCCAGTATTGTACTTGCTTCTTCCGTCCTAAAATGATTTGGGGTGTAAAATGGAAAGAGATTTTATTTCATTTTATAATACATTACTTAATGTAAAATGTCATGAAGCTTCATTGAGACATTAAGGTGTGATAATGAGGTCATCAAATATAATATCTCTAACCACCATAACAAAATAAAATAGAATCCCTATATCAAATAATAATTAAATATATCAATTTAACATTAAAAAATAGTTTATGTATAAAATCAAAATGGTCTTGCACAAAAATTGTACATCATATTTTATAAAAGAGCAATGCTAGGGGTACACCAAAAAGTGTACCCCAAATGTACACCACCCCATTCTAAATTTTTTTTGCCTTTTTTTAGTGGACAAGGAGGTGTACCCCTAGCATTGTTCAAAGCAACAAGAGAACAAGGAATGAGGGGAAGTGGATCGGAGGAGGAATACGAATGGCGAGTCTAATTTTCACCCTGTCCCTAACTTGTATCTTCCCGGTTTGCTTTGCCGCATTCGTCTTGTTCAAGTTCATCACCTCCGATGGTACCTTTCTCATTCATTCATCGTTCTTCTTACAGTCTTCTCTATCACGGAGACAATTCTTATTCATGGGTTCAATTCATTCTTTCTTAAACTCTCGCAGCCCCATATATGTTTCCCCAGTAGCTGCATCATTTATTTTGATAATCAAGTGTTTCTTATGTTGAAACTTGCTTCTATTTTCAGGGGATTTCACTTTAATTTCCAAAAAGACTGTGAAGCGTGAAGAAATCGAAGACAAGGTTAGATTGTTTCTCCATAAACACTGAGTATACATACTCCCAACTTCATACTTCCCTCATTTGGATGTCCAAAAAAGAACTTCACATTTATACTTCTACTCGTGTTTTAAAGATAGTGCTAAATTTGATCTTTTCATGATGAAATGTGCAAAACTTGAACCATTACAATGTATGCTTGTACTCCATTCAAAAAATTGATTTCAAAATGTCAAATACTTTGAAGGATGGGCATCTAAAATTATTCGGCCCTATGAAATTGGGGGCCCTGCGCGGGTGCACACACACCCTCGGGCTCTGCATTTTCAGTAAGGAATATGTGGCTTACAAAATCTCTCTCGTTTAAACAAATTTCACTCACACACTTTTCACTTTTTAACACTTTTCAAAACATTTTTTTTACTTTTTTTAAGCTGCGTAAAGTCAAACAATGAAGTTTTTTGGGATAGAGGGAGCATATATATTTGCAGTTTTTTAAAGCATTCAGTTTCTGCGTGCTGCTTTGTTAGCTTGCTACTTGCTTTCTTCCTCTTATTTCAGAAGCTGTAAATTTTGCAGGTTATTTGGATTACTGGAGCAAGCCGTGGAATAGGTAGGCAGATCCTTTTTTATTTTATGGTACCATGAAGTTAATCGTAATCAATTGGTTGCTGCTTCCCCATTTTGATGAAGTTTTAATGTACTCACATGTCTGTATGCAAATCAAAAGGGGAGGTCCTTTCGAAGCAACTTGCCAGCATAGGGGCAAAACTCATTTTATCTGCACGAAATGAGGCTGAACTAGAGCGCGTGAGGCTGCAACTTTCTGGTAGGTGTTTCTGGAGGAGGATTCAGTAAAGAAAGAACTGTTTTACTTGGTCTTTTTCAGCTTTTCTAATTTAGGAGTTCTTTTGATTGTGCAAATTAGGAAAACATGCACCAAATCAAGTGGAGATTTTGCCTCTAGATTTGACAGCAAGTGAGGATGTTCTTAGGAAGGCTGTAGAGAAAGCTGAATCTTTCTTTGGTGGATCTGGCGTGGATTATATGTTCCACAATGCAGCCTATGAGCGACCTGTAAGTAAATACGCATTCCAATGATTGGAATGCTAACCTTTTGTGATTAGCAAAGTTAGTGGTAAGTGGTAACTCAAGCTTTAACTGGGTGCACTAAAACTGATTCTTTTGCCCAAAAAAACTGTGCCAAATCTTATCTATAAGAAGTGAGAAGTGTGGGTGCAGAGGGGAGGGCTAAGGGTGTAATTGTAACTTCAGTTTACTTTCATGTAGATTGCTACCTTTGAGAACATGCCCATCTATCATAACCGGTAGGTCAAGCCATATTGAGGTCATTTTTTAATGCTGTAAATCCAATCAGTTACCTGTTTGCAGAAAACAACAGCACTGGATGTCACAGAAGAAAGTCTCAAGGTATTATTTTATACTTGTATCTGTATAGCATGTTCTTGACATAATACTAATAGGACTTATTTCAGCCAGTGCTCTGTTTCATTTCGTAAAAAGAATGACGAAATCCATCAGGATCAAGGGTAGCTAAAACATTTTACTGCAACTTTGTAAGAACTACTTCACCCCTGGGGAAAAAACCCACCACCATGAAAAGAAGCAAAAAAGAGAGTTACTATGCAAGAGGTGACTTTAATATTCAGTTATTCTTAAGAAGAATGCAATTACTGAATTACTATTGAAGGTTGAAAGGTCTTTGGTCACTTAGTATGAGAGGCTCCTTCTTTACAACATTAACAACAAACCCAGTAAAATTCCACAAAAGGAAGGTTTGTGGAGGGTGTGTGTACACAGACCATACCCCTACTTGACAGTAGAGAGGTTGTTTCCAAGAGACATCGGCTCGGACACAATAGTACGAACAATGAAAACACATTAGCATGAACTAAGCAAGAGCATATGCACAAGAAACACATACTGACACTAGCAACAAGACCGAAAGCATAGAAAGCAGACATGCACAAGCTACATGCTAAGATAGAAAACATGTACGGAGTACTTTGGACTGTCATAATTCATAAATGCAATATATTTGCTGCTGAGTGCTGAGTGATCCCTTGTTATGTAATTTACAATATTGTCGGCAGGCTACGTTTGATGTGAATGTTTTGGGCCCAATATCTTTGACGCGATTGCTGGCGCCCTACATGCTGAAGCGGGGAAGAGGACATTTTGTTGTGGTAAGTGGAACTAATAGATAAAACTTTCCTTTCTAGATTTAATGAAAAGCTGACATAGAAGTAAAAATGGCATTTTAACTGGTTATTAATATGACATGCAGATGAGCAGTGCTGCTGGTAAAGCTCCTGCACCAGGCCAAGCAGTATACTCAGCTTCCAAATGTGCATTGAATGGGTATTTTCACACGTTGCGTTCTGAGGTATGCTCAAGTCCCATTTCCTCTAATATTCCCTTGAGTCTCCACATACCATCCTAAAAATGAACGTTAATTAAACCAAATGAACAAAGGGTCCTTTTGACACTCATTCCCAGTGTCATAATATGACACCAAGTCCATTTGAGGGTCGTACCGGTGATCAGTTCAATCTTGAAGTGGTTTCAACCCCCCACACCTCCCAGTCCCCCCCCGGTGACAATCTACTATCAAAAGTGGATTGCTACCCGGGACTGGGTGGGTGCAAGGGTAAGGGAGTAAAAACTAGTTCGGGGTCAAATGGAGCACATTAGGATCTTCAAATGGACTAGTGTCATGTTGCGGCACCGGCCCTTGGTGTCAAAAAAACCAGACTCGATTTAATGCTTCATGTTTACTTTCAAAATTACTATTATGATATTATCTGTAGCTTAGTCGTTAATTGCTTCTCTTCAACTTATTTTCATTACTTATTCTTATTGGAATTAGACGAGACCGGATCAGATCAGAAATAACTTTAAATATAACTATAATCAACTAGATTAGATCGGACCTTAATAAAACCATATCAGAT